GGGGATGCCGCAACCGTACGCTTTTGGCGGCGACAACTGGTCGTCGGGTATGCAACAATTCACCCATTTACCGCCGCCCGCCGACCCGTCACCCATCGACGATTTTGCTGACGCTTTGGGTCCCGAGGCGTTCGGTCAGCCACAGCCGTGCGCCGCTCTGGCCAACGATGTGTTCCAAGACGGCCACGACCCGTCGTCGTACACCAACAAGTCACCTACCACTATGCTGGACCTGGGCAGCGGCACAATACACCACAACAAGAGCCCCGTCCCCGTGCCGTCGTCGCACTGTGACGATTCTGCCGGATGGCAGCACTACAGCCAGCAATACCAGTGTTATCAGCCGGCTGACAACGATTACCGTCACCACCATCACCACCATCACCATCATAACCAATTCGACCATCACGACCAGCAGTACGTGATCAAGACAGAAGATACCAGCATTTCGAGCAGTGACGGCGGCGGTGGCATCGGCCACGAATCCTTGGACCTCATGTACCCCGTGTCGCAGGAGATGGACTACTATGCCGCGGTACCGGAACCATCATCCAAGGGCGGTGCCAATGATGTCGGCTTGGCCAGCCCAATCGACTTCATCGGGGCAAACGCCGACGCGCTGACCGACGCGTCTGTTGACTTCATGGTGTTGGATCCCTCGAAAATGTTAAACAACAACAATAATGACTATTACATGGACCCTTATTGCGCCGGTATCGCCGTCGAGTCTTCCAGCGACTATAGCGACTTTTCGCTGAATTGGTCTCAGTAAAATGTATTAAAAACGTTTATTCTTTAATCTTTTGTGTATTTTAATTTTTATAGCTTTCTGATTATATATATATATTTACATATATTCGTGTATATTTATGTATTTAAATACCTCGTTGGTAGTTTTTTAATTTAGGTATAAATTTCTTTTTTTGACTACCTGTATATTACTATGTTTAAATGACTTTTATAAACTTGACATAAAAGTATGTTTTTAGATCTCCCTTTTGTATTATAATTGTTCCGCTAAATAATATTCACGTGTTTAAATTAAATTGATTTTTATATATGATTTACTGTATATTTTAGTGTCTATTCACTCTGTACTATTTGAAAGGGTTGAAAATCTACGTGGAAAACTTAAATAACTGACGAGATAATATCTACACAGGGCAAGATAATGAGGGTAGACGATTTTGATCAATGTTTAGCTAAGAAGTTCCATTAACCTAATGAATAATTCCTTTGGCTAGCATAAATAATTCAACTGCCAACGAATGATGTCTTATGGATGTACATAATATGTATTAAAAATGCATTAAAGCGAGATAGGTAATTTTCATCACTTGAAGCTTTTAAGGTAACACAAAAATATGTATAAAGGATTAAAATTTTGTACATCAGTGGTGCAGTTAGAATTTTTGAAACCCCAGACAAGAACACTATAAATGGTTCCCGACCCTCATATATCTATTTAGGTAAGTGCTTTTTATAATTTGTATCTAAAACAAATCTATTATTCGGCTAGGTACCGAGGTAAGTAAAAACTGAAAAAAGACATAATAAATATGTACCTAATCACATCATCACATGTGATCTTTCAATTTTAGTACCTTATAATTCTGAAATTCCTTGTCGATACTTCCCACAAGCTCTGCTAAACTTATTAGAGGGGTGATAAAAATTGAAATACTAAAAAATATGTATACATATTGCACTCATCTATGAATCAATAGGTTATAGTGCTTAATTGTATTCATACAGGTTCAGGTGCGTAATGGGTAATGGGTCATGGATATGAGTATGTAATAGGTAATACATTTAATATAATGTTATATAATAGTATGCGAATATGATAGAAATCATTATGTAATATTATTTAAAAGTTTTTTGATACAAGAACAATTTCACTTGTGACCTAGATTCTACCATGTATAATCCTATCGTGAAATAGACAAAACTTGCTAATTGAGTCTATTGCAAAGTTTATATTGTCAACTATAAGAACGCAAATAGTTTCAGCTCATTATTTTAGTACAAGTTCTGATTCTATTATATTTTACCTGGAATATTTATTTCAATTTTGTGTATCTTTAAAGTTAAGAGTTAACCGGTTAACGATACGTCATTTGTTTATAACGTTTAATTGATTTAAATTAAAAATGCCAGTTGTAAGGCACATATTTTGAACAACACATAAAAATAATTGAGGAATGAGAATGGTTACGACCCCGTATTCTTATGTCAGATGAACAAAAAAGATTTATAAGTACTGCACAGCGCCCGTAAGTAATCAAATTAACATCATTTTTGAAAAGTATTAACTAGTGAGTAGTGACGGTTTTAGCATACATTTTTACGAGGCGAAAAAATATTATTGGCGACCGTCGGGTACTATCGGCGTCACATTTCGGCAAGGTATTTAACATAGTAAAATAATAAGTTATTTTACATCAAAATGATCACAGTGAATCATCACTGTAATCCAATTATTCAATTGGTATTTGAACTGGCAGTACTTCTAGCTTTCCCTAGAAAAAGAACGATGTTTCTTGAGCGGCCCAATAATTTCATAAAGTGGAGAGATGAATAATGTTTTAATCGTTTACGCACTATGAGAATTGTATATATGTCACTATACCAGTCTATATGTCAGTATGGAAATAAATGTATGGGGTGGTATCAATCAGTGGTTTAACTTTAGTTTAAACCAATGATAATCGATTGTAAACGGTCTTTTCCATTAGAACTCCGATTAGAGTTTAAACTAATACTGCAAAACAGGCTAACGTTAGAGGTGGTAGCGCACTGCACAGTAATAAACGGCTATAAAATAGTACCAATAAGAAGTAAAACAAACTGGTATACAATAGAATATTATTTAATTGACATTTTAATTTTATAGATAAGTGTTCCCCGGGTTCACCCTCTGGGAATATGAAAAACTAGCAGAGATGAATGCAATGGTAGTACTTTTGATATCTCACACAAAGAACAACTTTCTTTTGTTATGAAATATGTATTTAAGTCAAAAATATATAAAAGAATAATTGCATTATATGAATTACCAAACACTACAAGTCAGTCACTGTTTGAAGTTTTTAAATTGGTCATGGAAAAATGAGGACTAGATTGGAAAAACAATTTAATCGGCCAGTCGTATGATGGAGCTGCAAATATGAGGAGCTTAAATAGTGGACCGTAAACGCGAATTAACAAGGAAAATCCAAAAGCTTTATACATGTGGTGTCATGCAATTGATGCAATTTGGTAGTTTTGTCTGCGGTTGTCTCTTGTAAGGAGGCAGTAAACTTATTTGGAAATATGGAGTTATATTCCTTTATTGTGAGCAGTAAAAAAAGGTCAGATATATACAGAAAAAAACAATGTGAACTATATAAAAAAACAACTTAAGGCTATCAAACGAGTAGAAACGACTAGGTGGACGTCGAACTCATTTTCTGTTATTAATAAAAGTAAAATTTAACTTTATTTATACATGTTTATGTATAAAAGTTTTTTTTGAACTTTTACGTTTATTGATGGAAGTTATTTTTTAAAACTTTTTGTGAACATTTCCATCGAATGGAATGTATTAATACGTGTTGTTTGGTATACAAATAATTGTTGTGTATAATTTTTTTTCAAAAATCAAGCCGCTGTTGAAAATCACTAAGCAAGAAAAAATGCTGAAAAAATATTAAAATGCAATTGATGAAAAAAAAAAAGATAACAGTTCAGAATTTTTACTCATTTTTACTTGTATTCTTACATAATTTAATCAAAAGTTTTATTTTAGTTCTACTTATTTACCCTGGTAATATCTGTTCCTGTTTTCGTACTTGCTCGACTGTCCTCTGCTGAGTTCTTCAAGTAAAATCTTCTCAACTTTTACGTGAGTTTGCATCATTTATACCTAACCCATAGTTATAAATAAACAGTTTACACGACGGTGTATGTTATCGACTGGCTTATAGCGGTCACGCAGCGTTACGCTGTCTATAGAGCGCGCCACCAGGATGCAGGCCATCATATATTTCCTATCTAACGTGTACTAAAAAGCTGTTTTTTTAACCGATAAAGATAGTAGTATTCAAGTCTACAAGAACAATATAATACATGAACTTGATGTATTTTTTTGTCCTAAAACCGATGGTGTGATTATAATATTTATAAAATGAAAAAATAAAATATATGATATAATGGTATAAATACTTAGGTTTAACCAGAGCCGGATTTAGAATTTTTGAGGCCCCGGACAAAAGACAAAAATGGGTTATTTTTATTAATTGTAAATTAAATTAAAAGGATTAAATCTAGTAGGTGGCCCTGGACAAATACCGATAATGTCCTTGCGTAAATATGTCCCTGGGTTTTTAACCCCTTTACAGCTTTTGGTAACCAATTCATTTTTATATATTTACGAGGAAACTTTGGTTTTTCTGTAATCACGATTAGAGATAAACTATCTAGCTAAATGTTTTCCAACATTATTATATTTTTAAATATTAATTATAAATAGTTAATACTTAATATTGTGTTCTTAGTATCTGTCCTTTCCATGTGAAGACCACAAAAATGAAATCATAAAAGAAGAAGAAATCAGCCATTCTTCTTCAGCCATTCAACAAAAACTGAATTAAAAACATTGGCAATGGTTGAATTCACAGAGAAACATTCAGCAGCTTATCTCAAAGAAAAAGTAACCTTAATCCTAGAATACTTTTTGACAATATTAAATTTTTAGTTTTTCGATGACGTAGTACTTTTTGAAAATTTTTAATTAAAATCTTAAATTTAACATATAAGTTTAACTAGGTTCAGATAAAATTTAAAATATGAAATTGTTTAACATTAAAATTCTATTTTTTTATATAATATAATATATTTATTATACTTAAGGGTTTATGAAGTTATTGCAAATTTTAATGTAAGTAAAAAACAAATTTACACAATAACAACGGATAATGTCAGAAATTTTGTCAAAATGGTTGACTTAATTAAATGTGATAACAATGAAGATGTGAAAGGTAAATACTTTATTTTAAAAAGTAATATTATTTTCTTGTTTCTATAAAATTTTCTTTTACTTATTAGATGACATATTATTATGAGATAATGTCTTAGAAAATATAGTGCCTGAGCTTGAAATTTTGGAATATTATTTGTGTAATGAAACTGAAAGAAATTACAGTAAAGTAGAAGATTTGTTTCTAATAAAGTCTGTGACTACATTGTTAAGGTGTGCTGCACACTCCCTTTAATTATGTGTTGAAGACACTCTGAAGGCTGATGCTGTGCATTCAGTAGTTGCTAGAGCCTAGAGAGGTATAATTTTTTTATAACTTATAGTTTAACTTTCAATTTGAAAATAAGGGGGAAATGTTACACATTAATTACAATTTACAATATAATATTAATACCAGTTAATAACAGTTATTACTAAAATGCTAGCAAATAGCTGATACATTTATATTTTTCAGTAATTGTATATTTACCCTATATATATGTATTTATTTCGATGTTTAATTTTTTTTTCTCAATTTTTATAACGCTTACAGGACCTTGATTTGTATAAACACGTTTGTTCTTGGAACAGTTGTTTCCATAAAAATATTCTTGATATAAGTTTTGAAAAAACATTACAAAAAATAACACTGAAATGTATGAAAAGGCATAGGAACTGTAAAAATATTATTGAAATCCGATACAGTGAAGCAAGTATAGTACTCACACCCCATTAAAGTCGTATTTATGCGGGTTGGGTTAAGAAAGATTAGGTTTAGGGAATTTTTTGTGTCTATGGGCCACAATAACTTTTATCCAAGGTATTATTTTATTATTAAATGTACCAGTATTGGCAAGACCCCGTATTGATGC